TAGCTCTCAGCATATTCTCTTGGAATGGTATAAACTTTTTAAGAATACATAGTGTCTTAACCGTGCTTATAATATTTCGAATTATTTTCAAATTATTATTATTATTATTATCATCATCATCATTATCATTATCATCACAATGAAGAATGTTTTCGAAGTAGTCGTGTTTTCTGAGAAAAATACCGGCTAGTCTTTCTTCGCGTTTTCTTTTGCACGTAATTAAATTAGCTATCTTGATAGCATCTTTTACAAATGGGTTTTTGTCGTCGTCAAAAATTATTTCGTCGGCGTGGTTAGCGGAGTTATAATCATCATTCAAATCGGGAACGGGAAATTCCATTATTATTATTCTTAGTCAATTTATTGCCACACTAATAACGTGATTTATTCAGATGAATGAATGGAAGAGAGAGAGAAAAAAAGAAAGAAAAAGAACACAATTTCTACGTGGAAATTGGCGAGAGCTATATTTCTCTCCATTTTACGATTTGGTCCTTGGAATTCGTACTGGATTATTGCGTTCGGTGCTGCACTCCTCTGTATGGTGGGTCTCTTTTTAGCTCGAACGTTTCGAGAATTAGTTGGTGAACTAGGAATCGTCATAGTTACACTCTTCAAAGGACTGGCGAGTATTGTTTTACCCATCGAACGATTTGTGTGTTCTGATTGCGTACGAGTTACTTCTAAACAGATGCAAAATGCATTTCATATATCGTTATTCAAGGCAATGTCAGAAATGAAAAGTGTTCACGGATGCCAAGATATTACGAATTGGTGGGACGATATTTTATACTGGACACAACGAATAATTGGGCAGAACGGAATGTGTAGAGATTTGAAATGGTTTCATTCCATAACACTGACGCGTTATTTGGTGTACTACCCTATTAAATGGACGATCTGGGTTTCTATTCACGGCGACTGTAAACCAACAATTAGCAGCGACCTATGCGCTATAGCGCGTTTAGAGTACGTGTTTCAATTTCTATTGATCAAGGGAATTTTGGCGATCGTCTTGATCAGCCGATGCTGGCCACTCTTCAAGTGGATTTACAAATCGTTGGAAAGAGAATTGTCTTTCTTAATCTGTGAACTGAAATTTATTATCTATAAAGTGAACCCGAAAAAAATTTCGCACAAGAAAGTAGGGTTAAATTTTTGTCAGAGACGTTATTTATTCAGTAATAAGCGGAAAAGTTCCTCCGAGTAAAAATTGGCTCTTCATTGTCGTCGTCACTGCTGCTGCTACTACTGAGTTGTAGCGGTGGTACGTTTGTATTCTTTTTCTTTTTCTTCATGTTCTTCTTATTTCTTATGGCGTTCAAAGCGTAATTATCGTGATACCGATGCGTGTACTCGGTGGTTGTACCGCAATGTGAAGAGGTTAATACAGCGTGACATCCAACGAAAATAACTATCGAAATTATCAGTCCGAAGAGTCCGTATATCGACCAGTCGGCGGCAACCAGTCCGCAACGACTGACAGACTCTTCCCCTGTAAATGCTATAGAGTATGTTAGGTCCTAACCACTGCGAAATATCGAATACGCGGTAAGTGAGGCTCGAATTAGCGACTATCTTTAAAGGGGTTATTTGATAGCCCGGTAGAATTTCAATCGTAATAGAAACGTTGTCGTGGCCGTTCAACAGGGACACCTGACCAGAACACTTATCAAATTTAAATGTCGACGCTTCTCGAATATCATCTACTTTCACATTAGACAAGTACAAATGATCCCATTGAGACATACTGGCGAAATAAACCAGTAACGGGGGTATAGTACTCGTATACACGTTGTCGGTCTTGCTGGTGGTCACGATATTACGGAACGTGACGTTACTTAAAATTTTACACCAGTCGCAAATATCGGAACCCCTTCTAGACGATAATAATTATGCTGCTGCGTATCGCGTAACTTAGATACGCATTCACGGTTATCGAAAATTAAATCGATAAGTTCTACGTTACCCGACGTTATCACAAACACTCCGCATGCAGGTCCCCTCGCTAAAAAATCCATATCGCCACTAGCCCGATGAAACGGTTTTGTCACACGTATCGTATACGAGTGCGTACATGCATGTGTAACGTGAAGCACGTGATTACGACCACCCAGTTCCGTCGCTATAGTCGCCGTAGTGTGATTGACAATTGGATTATGGCAACTGCATTTACGCGTTGTTTGGAAATTTCTACAATCAACGGATATATTGGGTATCAAATGGTACCATTCTAACTTATCGTTATTGAGTGGAGTTAATTCTTCGAGAGTACCAACGCAATGTTTCATGTTACGCGTGCATGTGACGTGACAGTGAATTACGGTGGCAACCAGATAGATGATAACTAGATACGATAACATGACGACAACAATCAAGCTAAATTACGTCGACGTCATTACTAATATTATAGTACAATCATGAACAAATACACTCGATTCCTTCTCCGGTGAATACGGCAATCTCGTTGCCACATTCATTCATACATCGTCTCGAATTTTTCATATCGACTGGGTATAGTACGCCGTGTAGTTCCCGTGCCGGTACACATACGCCGTCGTCGCCACTGTTGCTGCTATTTAATGCGCAGTGACCTCCCAGTAAGTGGCACGCATCATCTCTAATCACCCGTATCATCGACGAAGACGACGACGGTGAATCAACAGTCGCGGCGGGAAGTTTTACACTGCATCTAGAAAGATTAATAGGTTCGCCTTTATCACCGCGGCAATTCTCGCATTTAACGTAATACAAGCCATCCGTATAGTGTAAACACGCCACACCATCAATACACGCGTGGGGATAAGTTATCTGCGATATGTGTGTGGCAGTGTCTGTGTACGCGTCTCCAACTAGTAAATAATCGCGCAATTGACCGCCGCTGATGCTGCACGTCAATAACAACTGTAGTAGAACAACGAATTTCATATTATTATGATATTTATTTATTTATTTATTTATTTATTTATTTATTGAATGAATGCCATTAATAACATAATGAAAAAAACAAAACAATGGATAATACGAGATGCATACCGCTGATGATTTCGTGCGTGTTTGTAACTATAATCGCATTGATTCCTTCATACATTCCAGCAAGGGAACGAAGTCACGTTTTCGAATTTCGGGAAGGGATAGTAAAAAAATTAATTATAGGTATGCGATACGATGAGTTTGTAGTGAGTATTAACTTTAGAACGAATCAATCTGATTGCATGGTATTTTTTGTATCGCCGTGGTCTATACTACATTCCACGAGATGTTCTAGACGGACGTGTATAATTCACGATATTAATAACCAGTTTCCATCCGATGGGGTATACGCTTATCTGAAATGCCGAGCAGCAGATGAGTATCACGCGTTTCGATTGATACGAGCAAAACAAAATTCACCTATGTTTAGAATTAAAAGAGAAGTCCCATTGTATCGCGTGTTCGATACCGAACATCCCTCCCATATGATCATGTATACGTTATCCGAAGTAGAAAATACATCATCTCAATATCTCGTTCATCCTGACCCTAGGAAGTTTATCTTGTTCGGATCGTAAATAAATAAATAATAATAAATAATATTAGCTCGTCGTCATTGCGGTTTTTTTCTTCTTTCTTCTTATTATTATTATTTCGTGTCGGGATCTGTAACACTCCCTAAAAACAAATCTAGACCCGTTGCGTCGTCTCGTATCATAAACAAAAACGGGCGATCGACTTTGAAATCAATAGGTTGTGGTCTAGAGCAAAGCAATCCACACGACATTGCACTAGCGGCCGCTGCCACTGTCCCTTCTTCGTCGATGTCTAAAACAACTTTTTGAATACCGTCAGTTACGTGTAAATGTACTGCTAATCCCGATAAGTTTGCTTTTCTCGCGTCGAACATGTCCGTCATGTTCAATTTCATCATAATTTCCTTTAGCGGGAACGTGTAATCGATCTTTAATTTAGGTAACCATAAGTTGATTAGAGATCTGTACGCTTTCGCAAATATTTGGTTCCATTTCGCCAATCTATCTGCCGTCATTAATATTTGCATCATGGTGGTGTCATTCTGCGACGATGATGGGAGGATAATGTACATCGATGCGCCATATTCATAAGGTATTTGAAGAATTTGACAATCCGTATCTCGGTAATATCTGAGATGTGTTGATTGAAACATCATGTCGACCTTCTTTACCAGACCATCACTCGTGCGAAATGGTTGGAGGGTTGGATAAAGCGGATTAAAAGTAGTTTCCCATTTTCCTTTGAAATATATTGCATTGACGATAACAAGTTTCACCATTGAATCGAGGTTCGATATGAGGTCGGTGATTAAGCCGTCCGTGTTGCGAGACACCCATTTATTTATCTCGGTGCACACACTGACAGCGTTATTCATGAAATCGACCGAATAGAATCCACCGCCGTAAAACGCTTCGATAAGGTCCATATAATCATTCTCGATTTTGTACTGACCGTCAGCAAAAATGGTGTTGAATGTACGTAACGCGTATTTCTTCTCACCTTCTTTCGGCGTTAACGCCATCTGCAAAGATCTGTTTTTGAGATGATAATCATTACAATCTACAACTTTCAGACACGTTTTAATCTGTTTGGCGGTAGATCCACGAGCACCTACTTGCAACATAAACAAGACATTACTCAGACTGTAAGGCGAGAACATTATGTTCTTTTCTTTAGTATCAGTAGTAGTCAATGCATTGAACACGTCAACACAAAATCCGCGCTGACTTTCAACGTACGCTTCGAGATTCATCATTATAATGATGATTTCTGAATAAAAAATAACCGACTATTTATACACTTTCTTTTGGGTTCTATTTATCTATTATATTTATTCATCCGCAAAACTTAAACGCTTTGTATTTAGTCAATCGATGTGGTAATCTCTCGTCGATGTGTTTAGATAGAGCTTTAGAAAAACCGCTAACGTCTTGGTTGAAAGACTTTTCCAATTCTTTCACAGTCCAGTCAGCTAATAAGCTCAGATAAGCTTTACGTATAGACACGTGATTCTTCTCGAGAACTATATTTTCTGGCTCGTGTTTCCCGAGATACGCTCCGATTCGATCTTCTTGAATTTGTAATATTGTTTTGTTAGCGGCGGTAGATTCATTTTTGTACGGATTTTTACACAAAAAATCCGGAAATTCGCCACCGTATTTATCTCGAAGATCATCGAGGTCAATGACTTTAAAACTGTTGAATAGATTATTTTCGTTTTTTGTCCTATCGACAAAGATTATAGATTTACGTTCAGTTATATTTCGAAAAACACTCTCTTCCACGATATTTTGCATTACTGATTGCCTGGAATTAAAATCGTACGACTCGTCGCTCATGCACGCTAAAGAAATCTTAGCTGTGGTACGACTATTCTTTAATAACTGTAGACATGGATGTGACGTCGTCATGATTTCGACGTCTAACGGAATGTTGTCGAGGTGCCGGCGACGACGGTCTTCGATACAAAAATAACCGTTTTTACATATACCCGATTTCAAACATTTTTTCCGAAGAATAAGTGAATCTTGCAAATTATTATATTTACTGGAGAATATGGACCAGTGAACAGCGCAGTTTCCTTCTTTGCTCAACCGCCTGACTAATTTATCACTTTCGCCGATAGGTTTTATTACACGGTATTGTAGAGGTTTTAACCTATCGATAAAGTGTGCACGTTCGAAATCTACTACGACATACGTCGTATCGTCGGTGGTGGTGGCGGCGGACGTTTCGCCATCCATCTGTTTAAGCGTCTCCATTAACTTACTTCTGGCAAAACTGTATCTGACGTCACATAAATCGAGATTAACTGTAATTTCTTGGTGGGTCTGTAAGCTGATATCGTTATACGGTGGTCCAGAAACGTAATTGAAATCCACTATGTTTTTGTTCAGGTGATTTTTCGCGTGACGGGTTTGCTGTTCCAAGTAGTGCAGCAACGCGTAACGTTTCAAGTTGACTCTGTCCACTAAACACGTGACCGAACCATCCATCGGTCGGTAATGTAAACTCTCGTCGTGTAATAAATATACTACGTCACGTTTTATGTCGTTAAACCGTTCGGCTAAATAAATTTGAGCTGCATACGACGATAATAACAATAATTGTTGTTGTTGTTGATGTTTCCGATAGGATCCACCATAATGATACTTAGCGGAGTTGTTTATGACTTTGTAAACCGAGTTTCCATTAAATCGCAGATTACCTAATGAAACAAGGGCCTCTTTACAGCATTTCCCGGACAAATGTGTGCACCTTTCTAATTTCTGTACGAGGGCGTCTTCGTTGGGATATTTCAATTCGAAATAGGAAGCCCCGTCGTCAAATTCAGCTGCTTAACGTCGGATCTATAATGTCGGATCTGTTAGCATGGCTACAGTAACTGCTCTGTCCTTCTCGATAAACTGATAGTGGATTGAGAACGGGGTGATGAGATCGGCCGGATCGATACATTTTTCAATACACAATTCATTATGTAATTCGTCTCGCGGGGTGCGTTTCAAATATTCAACGTGTGCATTCACTACACTTTCGAAGTCGTCGTTGTCGGTCCAGGGACAAATGTGAGTGGTGGGCAAACACCCGTACACTTTAACGACGGCGAAAACGCGACCACGAGCTCTCAAATCATATCTCAGTCCGAAACATACACCGTGTCGTTCACACACTTCGCTGATACGTTCCCACGTGACAATTAACGATCTGTAATCAATTGGGTTTTCATTGTCGGTACGTCTGGGGTATAGGCCAACAACTTCTCGTCGTGCCATTTCCATAATGATATGTCTTAAAGCGCCGTACACGAATGGAATGAATAACTCTTTGACTTTAAATTCTAAAGTATCTGTATCGGACGGAAGAACACACGCGTCGCACGGCGGTACGTCGAACGTTACGAGCCGACTGTCTAAACTTCTGCAAATATTTTTCTCGTTCATAGCAATGAAAGTGGCGTAGTCACACACGTTCTCCGTTTCCACGTTGATATGTGAGCTGTGACCGGTCACCGGGTCCGTCACTTGTTCGACTCTACGCGATCTTATGTAACCCGTGTCTAATTCCTCTTTCAATGCAACAGATTCGGCGGACTGTTCGATGGCGAGAGGGTTAATATTCCTGTCAGAACTACTATTGCTCACACATTCGGGATTAAAACATATCTTCTTCGATAAATCGTGAGCCTGTGGAACGAGACTCGATTTCCGAGATCTGTAATTTAATACAAATGAATATTTGTTGCCCACGATTGCTCTGGCAACTGCCATCAACCGGGATTTACCGGAACCTGGCGGTCCTAGGAAGAGGCCGTGAAACGACATGTTCTTATGAGGTTTTAATTGTTTCAATCCCGACAGGAGGATGTATAATTTTTCGACTAGAGTGTGGTGGCTGCCGGAAGAATACTCTATCAATTGTAAAATATTAAATATGAACTGGTATCCAACATCTACGTTCTTTTTACCGTCGACAAATACGAAAGGTATTCTCTTTCCCGTAGTTGGAGATTTCATACCGTTGAGACATCTCTGTTCGAAACCGGTGTTAGTATCGAATAATTTATCCTGGTCCCGATAACTTTGCATGATCACTTCGGCTACTTGTAACCGTCCCAATTTATGCAGATTGTCGAAGACAGAAAACATACGTTTCCGATGTTCTTCTTCGACATAATTGTCCGCATTACAGCCGAGGGAGTGTAAAATATTCAATACCGTTATTATTCCGGGATTTTTACACCTGTACGCCGTACTGGTTATAGAATCAGAACCGCATTCGGGAATGTTTACGTACAGGTGCACGATAGAATCGGTTCTGTTTTCTACACCCGCTTGCATAGTCGTCAAGAGCGACTGTGTCGAGACGACCGATTTACAAGACGGAAAGTATCGTCTGGTGAAATAGGAGGGGTCTACCATTTCGGAATCGAGTTCCCACGTTGTATACTTCAACATCATGTCGGCCATTTGATCCAGAGTCTTATCTCCAGTGGTTACACTACTCTCTACTGCTGCTGCTGCTGCTGCTGTTATTCGTCGTTGCCGCGGCCGCGGCATTAGATTAGATAATAACTTATCTTTATTGGTTTTTCGAATCGACAAATTGAATAGGTAATTCGGTGACAATAAGTCACATCTCCTCTGCCAAGCCGTCGGTGTATCCATTCCACGGATATTGGTTGGCAAATCGGTAAATTCGTGCGGACGGTCATGATCGTTAAATTGATAATAGTGGTATAATTCGAGAAACTTATCGAAATCGGTTAGGCGAAATATTTTGGGCATGCGTTTAACTTCGTCCGAATTACCGATACGACATTTTTTCATACTGATATTGCCACGACCTAATTCCATATTGAATTCCGGTCGACACGTTGTTACGTACGACTTCAAGTTTTTTTCTAAAATACATCCCTCGTTATCATGATGATCTAAAAGTTCGGCATCCGATTCCGCAAATAATACACGCTGCGCCATAAACGGAGGCTGCACGTCGATTGGAGAGTAGTCCGTCTTCAACAAATCGTCGTATGCACGAAGCGAATTATTAATCAAAATGATATCTTCGACTACTAGCCTCAATGCCCCACCACGTTCAAGATCTCGATGAGTCGACGGATCTTCATAAACGACCCAAAATATATAAGTTTGTGGTTCTATGTGGTCCGAGGTAGCTTCGACGTCGAGTACCGAGCACCCTACGAAACATCTGCAAGCTTTAGATTTAACGTAAGACGCTAATCTCATAATGGTCTGAAAGAGATTGTAAGTATGTAATTTGCAACCCACGAGAGAATGTGTGGGAACTTCCAAATCTATAATCTCGAAGGCCAAACATTTTATGGGTCCGCTGATTTCCCAATTCAACCAATGTAACTGAGAAGGCGAACGTATTAATTTAGTTGGTCGTATTTCGCACGGCAATAGTTTAGACCGGTCATTCTGACTACTATAAAAAAAATCGGTGTGATGATTTTATTATATATATATATATACTCGTGGTCATGTACCACCACCACTACCACGACGACGTGAAGAACGTACGTATACTAGTA